GATAGCGGAGAAGACACAACCTCCAGATAGACTCGGACAGATGGTATAAAGAAAGACAAAAACCACGCGATTTCTTCCCCTACATCTCTATAACATACGACGCTTTCGAAGTTTCTTCTGTCATCGTCCCACCCTCTGCCAATGTCTTCACGTCAGATGCTGATGTCTCATCTCTGCTGTACTATTTTTTCTCTTGTCTTTGACTTTCGCACACTCTCTGAGACTTTATTCTTTCTTTCCAGATTTCTTTTTTTATGTAAAATATGTTTTACTTCAGTAAATATCACTACTTACAGAAACCACTACTTTTTCTTGTATGTATGTGCTACTGTTTTCACTTCTGCATTGTAGTAGGCTACACTACTTCTTCGGAGTATACATTTTTCGTTCTTTCATGTCTGCTCCCCATAATAACTATTTACCATTCTATGTCTATTTTCAGTCTCCCTTCAATATATGAATATTTTAGTTTTTCACATGTTGGTCTCTCTCCTTCCCTCCCTCCTTCCCTTCTCTCTCCGTTTCCCTCCGCTCTCTCCCTTTCTCTCCCCTTCTCCTTTCTCTCTTTCCTTTCTCTCCCTCTCCACCCTTCTCTCTCTCCCTTTCCCTCTCTCTCTTTCTCCCTCCTTTCTGCCACCCATCCCCTCTCTCCCTGTTTCTCCCTTTTTCCTTTGACAAATATTGGCTATTCTTCCGTGGTTGCTTGGTCCCCATTTTCTCTAGTTTCGTTCTTATCGTTCCTCGCTCCTCCTCATCGGCGCAGCCTCCACCGCATCCAACTCCCCGCCTTCTTCCCGCGCTTCCTTCTCGCGCTCCCACCGCGGACCGCAACACCACGTCTCTATCGCGCTAGAACTAACCTGATAAATCAATGCTCCTCACTGCCGGCGGGCGCTACACCCCATATTTTATCTTGCTTTGCGGCCACGGCCACCCGTGGGCCCGCGGCGCGCGCCCTCCGCGCGATCGCGCCCCGCCCCCTCCCAAACCCTCTTGGCCCCCGCCCGCCCCCGCGTCAGGCGAGCCCCTCCCGCCCAACCCGCTCCCTGCTGCTGACGTGGTCGCGCGGCCGCTCACCCTTCGGGACGCGCCGCCCTGTGCGCTGGTATTGTGACAGCTCTCAAAAAGGCCGACGGCGTGACGAAGTCCCTCCGGTTCTTTATTTGTCGTCATAAAGCCGCCGAGTGTGTCTCCCGAGCGGCGCTGCCTCGCGCGATCGGTTCCGCGAGCTGCTTCCACGGAGTAATTAGAGAGCGCGGCGAGGAGAGGCCGCGGGAGAGTGTGCAACATTAAAACTGATTTTCATACTTTGGCGATGAGCGGCGGCAAGTGGTTTCCGCGCATCGCTCGGGACAAAAACGGACGCGTCGGGCGCGTGGCGCAGTAATAAAGGGCGCGTTAATGAACTGATTTTCGAGACGAGGCGGGGAATTAGTTACGCTGTTTGGAAAGAGAATTTTTGGAGGGAGAAAAGGTATGTTCTTTTAAAATATTTTAGGCTCAATGAATACGTTACTTCGTGATTTATAACGTGTGCTGCAAATGCTAACTAAGAACATTAAGTGTTTGAGAGGTATAGTTGCCCTAGATGCCCTTTCATACACATCGTTCAGAATACGCAATTAAAGGTACTTTTACAATTTCTAAAGTTCAGAGAATTCTGTAAATTTCCTTGCACTGTTTAGATTTCAACTGCAAAACATCGTATCAGAAAGTATGATCCATACTGAACTTATAAACGTACTTACGACCTTACGAATACCAATCTCTGAAAGTAAACGCCCTCTTTCTGCTTCCCAGAGACCATGAGTCCTGGGTTGATAGACAATGTTTAAAATGGGAAATAATTTTGAAACGTAAATGACTAGTAAGCACAATTTATTAAATCATAATGAAAAGACGGGTTGTGTATGAAATGAGATAGTTATTGCCATACAGGAGCAAGGAATATATCCTAAACAACGCAAGACCAAATAATGTGTGAAGCATTGATTGAATGTGTAAAGCATTGATTGAAATTAAAGGACAGAACACTCAGAATCCTATGAATTTTTGAAGTATCAATCTGGAAAGTGTTAGGATATTAGGAGTTCCTGGTACTTGTTCGCGTATGACTTGTACGACATAAAAGTTCGTACTGTATTCTGCGAATCTTAATTTTAATCAGCTGAATTTTGTTTTAATTAACTGTAATATAATTCTGTACTTCGATATTTCTGTATTAGCTGAAGACATTACATCAATGGTACACCTCCTGCCTTATACAATTTCAATTAATTTGCGAACGCCCTTCACTTAGGATTAGTGGCCTCAGAAATGTACTTACTACAGTTAAAAAGATTCATTTCATGAGGTAGTTCTAACAATAATTTATGTATTCGGCCAATACAGAAAAATCGAAGTATAGTACTGTGCAAGGTAATGAAACATCTGTACCAATAAACACAATCAGCCAAAGAAGGCCGCATATTCAATTGCTTAGTCAGTAAGAAATTCCAAATGTCTGAGATTCTAATTAGATCCTACGTCACCCTGATCCCGGGAGTGTCAGCAGTGTCAGCTCTCAGATACAGCTGCAATCTTTTGTGAATGCGAATGATCTAAATCTCTATTTGCTGAAATGTGTATTTTATATAGTTTCCACATGTCTCCCAATGCCATTGTTAATGTTTTCTACACTGCAGAAATCTTATTTAAATACTAATGGTGAGAAAAGTAAAGTTTGACAAAGAACACGCGAAAATCATGAAACACCTATTTTCTTATTAAATAATATTAAATACAATTTCCACAAACGATTTTGGCATGTTCTAAAGAAAAATAAATTATACATTTTTTTTACAAAAATATTTAGGAAATCTATCTTGCTTCCGTTTTGCAATGTTCGCAATTTTTTCATTTCATTACAGACATCCCTTGCACATCATCTTCCTAGATAAGACGAATTACACATTTTCTGAATAGGCACTTGTCATAGACGCGGTTGAAAATGCCATGACACGTCCCGCTAACGCCAAGATCTCAGAATGCTAGAGAACGGTACATGCTCAGAGAACCACTACACACAACGAATTCGAAAGATATCGCGCAGTGCAGCGTTTCAACGTACAGAAAATGATTCAACGAAAGGAAAAAAATAGCAGGCCAGGCGTTCTCAGAATAGTATAATGAAGGAATACATGAAATACCACACGACATCGCAAAAATTCAGGAACATAAAAATTGCCTTGGCTTGGATCTCCCAGACCTATTGCGAGCACTCCCGGGTTAGGTTTGTAGTTGGGTTTGGTCGTGTGGCTGTCCCGCGCCGCGCGGTGGCCCGTCGTCGCCGCCGGGTGGGCGCGGAGCGGTGGCTGCGGTTGCGTCGGCGGCAACGCGTGGTTCCGCGCGCGCTCGCATGCTCGCTCGCGTCGCCCGACAACTGCGCTCTTCATGCAGAAACGGCCGCTCGGCCCCATTACATCCACTCCCGCGAGCGCGTTAGTGTCTCTTGTCGGTGCGTGGCCAACATTTCAGCGCGGGACGTGACTGCCGCCCGGCCCACACATCTCCCCGCCCGCGCCGCGCCCCGCCCCGCCCCGACCCTCCGCAACCCCGCGCTCCCCCTCGACGTGCTCGCGCGGTCCCCTGCCGCCGGCTCGGGGCTTCTTAGCTCCCCTCCGGCGCGGAAAAAACCTATCACTCAAAACATTCCCCCTGATTGACCGACCGACCGCCGCCGCGGCGCCGCGCAGCGCTCCACGCTGCCGCAGCCGAATCCTCGACATTTTTCTTTAAATATTTTAATACTTTCGACAAGTTTACGAGGCGACGTGATCCAATTGTGGCGATTCCCTGCTTTACGCGATCGAGGGCTGCACGTGCGGAGCGTCACGCCCCCTTCGTCATCCTCCTGCTCTGCCTCCTCATCCTCCATATCTGCCTCCTAGTCTTTATCGTCCTGCTCTTCCTCTTCGTCCCCCTCCTCCTGTTTTGACTCCCTACCCGCTATATACTTCTCTTCCACCTCACCCTCCTTCTCCTCCTCCTGACCTCATGAGCATCATTGTTGTCTACCTTCTCGATCTCCACTTTCAGTTCTGTCTCCCCGTCGTCATTATTCTTCCATGTCTCCTCGACCACCACCTATTTCATTTCCTCATCCCCATTATCCGTCTACTTCACCTCCTCTTCCGACAAACTCCCCGACCCGCGCCTCGCCCCTGGGGCGGAGGGCAAGGAACGTAGGTCATTCCACGCGAAACGAGCGGGCCGGCGCGCCTTCTTTTTGGGCCGGAGACACGCGTCCTAATGGCGACAACTTCCACGCACTTCCAGCTCCCCCCCGGTAGACGACTCCTGGTATCTACTTCGTTTGGCTGCGACTTCGATTTTTTTTACGCTCGCCGCTTCGGAGAGAAATGGACATTTGGCTGCCGACAAGAAAGAGTATTCGCGTCGGAAGCAGGCAGTAAAGAAAAATAGCCGTATTATTCCCGTTGGAATAGATTTCAATAAACAACAATGTAATATCTATTACCACAATTTTATTCTTAATATCACCTTAGAAACTATGAATATAGTAAATACAATTGTACACAAAGAAAAACGCATTCATCAGTTTCATAGACCTGTGCAATTGTAATAAAAAATCAATAATAAAACTTAACGTGTTTGCTCTTCATTATTTGCTAATAATACAAAAATTACGCAGGAAATCTGTTCCTGCAACTTATTTAACTGCAGTGATTTTGTCGTTTATCCATTAAAACATATCCTGGACTAAAAAATCAAACATAGATTTAGATTTGAAATACATTATTTAGAAATCATAACAACAAAAAAAAATCCTTTCGATTTTTCTCAGTTATGTTGCATCTTCTCGAAGGCCTGTTCGATCTCAAGAAGTCCGAAGACATATATCTGAGTGAAATGATCATATACTAATATTTTTTACAATATGTGACGAAACATTAGTGTCGTGAAGTTTCTAATAAGACACTGGATTGTTCCATGAAAGAATGTTTGCGTGCAGTCGTCAGCCCTCAAATCATCCACTCACATCGGCCTTTCCCGTCCCTCCAGTCAACGCGCAGCTCATTCCGCCCGCATACCGCCCAAAAGCACATGGCTCCCGCAACGTCCAGCTTCCACCGCCAAGGCCAGAGGCCACATCAGCCGAGCTCATGACCCGCGCACTCGCTCAGCGGCACGGCGCCGTCCGCAAGAGGAGGGGCATGGAGGGTGAGGAGCAAAGTGAAGAAGCAAGAAGAGATAAGGAGGAGAACGACGCACAGCGAGAGCCGAGGATGAACAGCATCAGGAGGAAGGAGGAACAAGATGGAAAAGCAGAAGGAAGGAAAAAAAGCAGAGCAGGAGGAGGAGGAAAGATGCAAAAGCAGAAGAAGAAAAAGAAGCACAGGAGGAGGAGGAGGAAAAAGATGAAAAGCGAAGAAGAAAAAGAAGGCAGAGCAGGAGGAGGAGAAAAGATGAAAAGCAGAAAGGAAGAAAGAAGGCAGAGCAGGAGGAGGAGGAAAAGATGGAAAAAAAGCAGAAGTAAGAAAAAGAAGGCAGAGCAGGAGAGGAGGAAAAGATGGAAAAGCAGAAGGAAGAAAAAGAAGCAGAGCAGAAAGAGGTGTAATCAGGAGGATGAGAATGAGGAGACTGAGCAGAGTGAAGAGGATGATGAGATAGCAAGCAGATTTGATGACGATGGGAGACGAAAGGGGAAA